CCCCAGAGGAGACTTGTAGGATGAATGTTGAGTACGATGGCCTCACCTCCTGTGGAAGCTAGTGAGAATGAAGATGGACTTGGTATGTGATGGGAGAGCTAAATAGTAGGAGTGGTTGATTAATTGGATTCATAATCTACTGGCCAACTCTAAATCCTAATCACTTGGACTATATGTGATAATGCTTTTGTCATTTCTCCAGAGAGCTGAGGTTGTAGAAAAGAACCCTCACATCACACAGCCTGCTGAAGTCAAGCATGGGCCCTCTAGGGCCCAATCAGTGCCACAACCCATCATTTTCATCAACAATTCAGTCATTTGCTTATTCTTCAACATTCAACATGCATTTATTTGTAAACATATTGTTTGCTGGGTTATTGGGGGTAAAATGATTATTAGATTGAAATAGTGTTAACTCTTCAAGCTGTCTTTTTCTATGACTCTTCTTGATATCTAGCATTAAGACTAACAGGAAAACAGAAGCTTAACATTCTAAACTATGTATTTCATAGAAAAACTGAGAGCACAGAGCCAAGTGATTTGCTCAAAACAACCCAGCTAATTATTGCTGAAGAGTAAACCTCAATCTCTTTATAAATCTCCTTACAGCCATGAAATCAATTTTCACCATTGAGGGCCCAGACAGAAGTAGGAAAGCAATGTGGTATAAGACAAAAAATAGTTCAGAATATATTTGGAGGAGGAGGGCAGGTATTGGCAGCTCATCATCCTGGCTACTTAGGAGTTTGAGATCTGAGGATCGAGGGTCTTTCTAATGGATGAGTAAAATTTCATTGTGAATACATACTACATATTTTTTGATCCATCTCATCTATTATAGAGCATCTGGGCTATTTCCACAACTTGGCTGTTGTGAGTGGTATAATAATGAACATGGACGTAAAAGTGTCTTTATGGTATCCTGGTATGTGACATTCTGGGTAGATGCCTAAGAGTGATATGACTGACTGGATCCTAGAGAAAGTTCTATGTTTAACTTTTTTGAGGCATCTCAAAAATTGCAACAAAGGTTGCAATTCTCAATATTGGCCGATCTAACTGGGGCGAGATGGAATCTCAATGTTGTTTTGATTTGCACTTCCTTTATGGCCAAGGATATTGACTATTTGCTCATGTATCTGCTTGCCATTCTTACTTCTTCTGAGATGTCTCTTTATCTGCTTTCCCCTCTATTAATTGGTTTATTAGTTTTGGAGAATTGTTTTTTTTTGTCTCAGTATTGGGGCTTGAACTCAAGGCCTCATACTCTCACTCAAGTCTTTCTCACTCAAGGCTGGTGTTCTACCTCAAGTCACACCTCCATTTCCTTAAAGGTTTTGTTGTTGTTGTGCTGGCCCTGGGGCATGAACTCAGAGCCTAGGTATTGTCCCTGAGTTGTTTTCCTCAAACCTAGTATTCTACCACTTGAGCACAAGCTTCACTTTTGGCTTTTTGGTGGTTAACTGGAAATAAGAATCTTTCTGACTTTCCTGCCCAGGCTACCTTTGAACTGCAGTCCTCAGATCTCAGCCTCCTTGGTAACTAGCATTACAGGCATGAGCCACTGTCACCATGCATAACTGTATTTTCTATACATGTTTTTAAAAATCATAATATAATCAATAACTATTAATTCCAATTTTTTAGACTGTAAGAGAAACAGTAAAGAAAATCTCACACCCCAGGGTTTCATTTTTGTTCACACTAATCTGCATACATGCATTTTACAATGAAAGTTAATTATTTAGCCAGGTGCTTTGGCTTACACCTGTAATCCCAGGCCAATCTTCCCAGGCCTTCACACCAGATCATCTACTTTCTTGGGTCTTCAAGAAAAGGTTTATTCTAGCTTATGGTTTTGGCTCTGTGGCTTTGGGTATGTGATAGCACATTATGGCAGGAACATATAGCAGAGTAAAACCACTCAACTCATGTTCTATAAGCAAAAGAGAGAGTAGAAGAGACAATTCTCAAGAGCAGGGTCCAATAAGCTCAGTAACTCTCACTGGTCCCCACCTCTTAAAGTTTTTGCCATTTTCCTTTAGCACTATTTGGGTATTGGGCTTTAACATACAGTTCTTTGGGTGCATCCTGATCCTAGAGTTAGCCTATTTTTAAATTTGTCTTTTTTTTTTCTTTTTTTGGAGGGGGAGGGGGGTCCGGTCGTGGGGCCTGAACTCTGGGCCTGGGCACTGTCCCTCAGCTCTTCAGCTCAAGGCTAGCGCTCTACCACTTGAGCCACAGCACCACTTCCGGCTTTTTTCTTTTTGCTTATGTGGTGCTGAGGAATCAAACCCAGGACCTCATGCATGCAAGGCAAGCGCTCTACCACTGAGCCACCTTCCCAGCCCCCTATTTTTTAATTTTTCTATAGGCAGCATTATACTGTATATATTCTTCTGACTTTTTTTTCTTTGCTATGATTTAAGATGTATACACTTTAGTATGTGCTATAGTTCATTTTGGCAGGAGTGTTTCACTGATTTGTCCTTGTTTACTCATTCAGGTATTCATGGATATTTGGTTGTTTCCAACTTTTTGTTACAATCAATAATGCAATCATGAACTTTTTTTGTGTGTCTTCTGGTGCACCAGGAATCATTTCTTTATTGGTTATTCCTAGGGGTGCAGTTGTTGTGTTGCTGGGTATGCACATGCTCCATTTTTCTCCCACATTCTTAAGAATTTTACCAACCTGGTGTGTAAAAAAATGTGTTTCATTATTTCATCTCCCTAATTTCTAATAAAATAATCTTTTCTAAAGGCTTATAACAGCCTCTCATTCTAAGAAATGCTGCCACCTCATTCCTGTTCTCGTTTGTCCTAAAATAAATGACACTTACTTACATTTTATGAAATACTATATCAACATTTCCATGCATCTTTCCTATCACTCAGCTAATGTAATGGACCCTCCTAGTGTAGTTTTCTATTTTTTTTTATTAGAATCTAATAGCTGGGTTCCAGTGGCTCATGCTTGTAATTTGAGCTACTCAGAAGACTGAGATCTGAGAGTTGTAGTTCATAGCCAGACCAGGCAGATAAATCTGAGATTCCTATCTTTAATTAACTAGCCCAAAACCAGAAGTGGAGGTGTGGTTCAAGTGGCAGAACACCAGCTTTGAGGGAAAAAGCCAAGCAAGAGAGCAAAGCCTTGAGTTTAAGCTCCAGTACTAGTATTGAAAAAAGCATCTTCTAACAGACTTTTGACAAGGAAGGTGCATAGTATTTGCAATGTGTGTAAGGATAAAAAGCAAAATGGAAAATTTTGGGTATGGAGAGAATGAAGTTAGAAATTAGCAGGAATCCAATAGATAATAAGTACAGAAAAAAAATTTAATACCTGCCCGGTTTTCAGACCCAGGATTATTCAGAGAACTGTTTCTAATCCTTACAAAATTCTGTGTGGATTTTTATTATTTTTCCATCTTATAAATGAGGAAATTGATTTTCAGAAGTCACAGAGACCTCTGGAATGCCCATAGGAGAGTATGCATTAATAGAGAAATGCTTAATAATTTAATATAACCAGCAATTTTGACAAAAAGTTGTATATGGTATTGGGAAATGTTGCCCATCTGTAAGTTACTGGGAAGTGACTTCCTGTGACAAACAAACCAACCAACCTGCATGGCTGACAGAAAGGGTGGTCTAGATCCCACCTAGCTAGCTTTCTGCTCCCTCAAGTGAAGAGCTGTGGAGCCCTCACTTGCTTTGTGGTTGAAAGGATAAAGGCCTCTGGGGCTTCCATCTGGACCTGCCTCTTAGTTACATTATCTGTAAAAAGGTGATAACGTTAATACCTACTTTGGTGTTTTTGTTCTTAGGGGCTTCGGAAACAAATTACCAGACTTGTTGGTTTAAAGTAAAAATTTATTTGCTCACGTTTCTGGAGGCTGAAAACCCCCTAAAAGCAGGTTTACTGGGACAAATACAAGTGGGTTTAGGTTTGCTCCTTTGACTACAGAAGAAATACCCTATGTCTTCCAAGTTTTGAGGGCAGCTGGCATCCGTGGTTCGCAGCAGCCACACGCTAAGCGCGGATTCCTTTCTACAGATACCCTTGATTGCATTCAGGGCCCATCCTGACAACCCACGACAATCTCTCTACATTCTTAGCTTGATTTGCAGAAACCTAGATTCCCTATAAAGTCACAAGTAACTTCCAGGGACTGGAGCGTAGAGGCTGGTGTCTTTGTGTGCCAGTCCTGGCACTCACACTCAGGGCCCGGGGTGTTCTCCCTTAGCTTTTCTGCTCAAGGCTAGTGCTGAACCGCTTGAACCTCAGTTCCACGTCCGGCTTTCCTGGTGGTTCACTGGAAATACACTTCAGGGGCTTTCCGGGTATCTTTTCAGGACCTAACCAGAGGTCGTTATGAGCTGGAAATGCTGGCAGAGGACAGAGCTAGCAGCTGACAGTGGGCGGCGGGAAATAAAACTACCCCTGTCCTCTTCCCCAAAGAGGCCTTTGCCAGTCACAACCCCTACCTGATAGGTCGGCTGTGCCGTTCAAACAAAGCCCGGGAATACCACGCCTAGGGGCCCAGGACGGAATAAAGGAGGAAGCTGACGTAAAAGGTGACGGCCAGCCTTGCCCGATCCTCCTCTCCAGGAAGTCCTGGAGCACAACCGCGCTTTCCTTCGAGGCCTCGGAGCAGGACGCCCCTCAATGCGGAAGTCCCGCCCCTCCTCACTTCCGTCCCGCCTCGGCGTTAGCGCGTGGCGCATTCGGGCCTTCAGGATCTGTCCAGTATATTGCCTGTCAAACTGTAGCCAATTATATGCAAACATGCCTCCCTTACAAGCTTTTAAGTCTCAGGCAATTAGGTACGCTTGCAGTGATCTTAAGAGGTGCATTTCCATCATAGATAGATAGAAAAATTGTAGCCGAAAATTTTTGGAATGAGATTGGCTCTACTTCAGACAGCCCTGACCAGCCGGGGGAAGCGGAGGCCCACGCATGGGGGGTGGAGGCGGGGTGTCCTCAGAGCCAGGGCGCAGGCGCGGTGCGCTCACCTCGCCATGCCGACTGTCAGCGTAAAGCGCGATCTGCTCTTTCAAGCCTTGGGCCGGACCTACAGTGAGTGCCGCCACACACGTTGGGCCTCCTGATCTCGCGGCTCCGTTCCTACGGTCGGGCAGAAGTGAGGCCCGGGCCGTTAGGGTTTCACAGGGGAGGGCTGACGTAGCGGGCAGCTCAGGTGGGCTGAGGTAGCTTCTCGGGAGCCGGCTTCGCGGCGGCGGCCGTGGCGCTTCCCGCGCATGCGCCGCCCTGCGTGTCAGTCATTCCGTGGTCCGGCGCGGAGCTCGTGTGGCGTGGGTAGCTCCAGCCTGGGTCCCGTGGCTCACGCACCCGGGAATAAGCATCTTAGGTTTGGCACTGGGGAAACTCAGTTTTTCCGGGGGTGGGAGCAGGACTTTGAGGATGGAGGGCATTTTCGTTTCCTTTTTTGTGGTTACTGAACGCCAGGCAGGTCTCTGGCACCGACCCGACAGCTGTGCACCTGTGCACCCGACACCTCGTCCCCATTTTGGTAAAGGAGACACACAGTCCAGGAAAGGCAATAAGGTGTGCTGAGAAAAGCATTGGCTGGGCAGTAGTTACGTTGAATCGAGGCCTGAAAGATACGTCTTTTTGGACTTAGTTCTCCTGCTATGCATGATCACTTCCTCTGTTCTGAAAACACAACCATGGCGGGAGGAGGAGGGAAAGAGGAGACATAGAAACCAAAGATGTAATAAGCGGAATGACATCTACTCCACCCCATAACTAGCAGATTGTTTAAAGGCTGTTCACGTGATTGGAGCTAGCTGTTTTTGGTACTGGATGGCAGGATGGTAACAAAGCAACAGTTCACTTCGTAATAGCTGAAGAGCTTCTCAGAATAAAGTATTATTCTTACTGTGAAAGTAAAAGTTAACTTAAAAAAACTTCTGTGTGCCCGTGGCTCACGCCCAGTAATCATAGAATGTTCTGGAGGCTGAGATCTGAGGAGCACGGTTCAAAGTCAGCCCCATGGGAAAGTGCTGGAGACTCATCGCCCCAAAAAGTGGGAAGTGGAATTGGTGGATCAAGTGGTAGAGTGTTAGCCTGGAGCTGAAAAGCTCAGGGACAGTGCCCAGATTCCGAGTTCATGCGCACGTGCACACACACACACACCCTCAAAATATTTTTAAAGGTGTATTTTTAAGTATCACCTATTCTGTAGGCCTTATTTTCTTTTCTGTCCCAAGTCCTTACCCTTTGTAACTTGGCTTTAATTCTTTAACCACTCTTTAGTATATATAATATGCTTACTTGTATTTTTTGCTTTCCCTTGAAAACCAGTCTCACCAGTGGTGTATGATCTACTTGAGTAGCACAAGATGATGTCTGGACAATTTTAAAAATGTCTATAATCAGTTCCCAGCCAGGTCTCCATCTCTAGAGATGTAAGCAATTATCCACATTTTAAGAAATGGTGAGGCTTCATAACCTGTTTACAGTTATTTGATGTTTTAACATGTTTTAGAGCTGCACTTCTTTATTCCCTTTCACCCTCCCCACCTCCACCTCCCATGTTATGAGAGTGAGCTTGAAAGTGAGCTTGATTGTCCCTAGAGAGTGTTAGCCTCTGGGTCTTTCAAAGGCTCTGGTCAGAAATATGTTCACACATCTTCTGGTTTCCACACTGTATGGGTCCATCTTGTTTCCTTCTGTTTTTTTTTTTCCATTTTTCTTTCTTTTTTTTGTTTCAGATAATATCTCGTTTATGCTTTTCCTATCAACATTCGTTTTTTGTTGTTGGTATTGTTGTTTAAAAGTCATTCCAGCGATGGTCTATCTGAGATTCCATTGTATTTTTCCTGTTGTCACTATTCCCAGAAAGCATGATTAGCTTTCTGATTCTACTTCCTGCTAATACAGTTTTGGAGCAAAGACTTTTGACCTGTTTCTCCTCCTTTTATTCCAAGCTAGTGATGTTTCTGTCTATATGTTTTGGAAACTTTGTGGGCCCTTAGTGAATTTGCCTTTCTTTCATGAGATAAAAGCCAAAGTATCCAACAGTGATTGAAATTTCTGCTCATAGAGTGCTTTTAATTAAGCTCTGTTGTATGAATAGATTTGTGACACACATTCTTAATTTCTTTATTATATTCTTCGAATTGTGCCTTTGATCTTCCTGTCTCATAACTTTTTTCATTTATAGCTTTGATTCTACCTTATGTCTTAGATTTGATGTGTGTGCGTGTGTGCGTGCACGCATGCTGTACTAGGGCTTGAACTCAGGGTCTTGTGCTCTTGCTGGGCTTTTTTGCTCCTGGTTGGTGCTCCACTGCTAGTGTAACTCCTATTACCTGCAGATAGCACAGCTGTTCCTTAGACATGTCATGAATTGTTCATTTTCTACTTGTTCTGTTTTTTCTTGATGTGAACATTAGTCTTCATTCATATTAAATTACTTAGAGTTAGCCATTTTGCCAAGCTCTTGTTTCTGTACCTACAGCTATTTACTAATCAACGCATTTTTTATGCAGCAGTGTTGGCTCAAGTGGAGCTTCATGCCACTGCAGTACCTTGCACTTGATTATACTTATTACACTGTGGTTTTATTGCTAGAAGAGGAAGTAATCAAGGCAGGAATTATATTTTATTAATCTTTATAGCCTTGGCATATCATGTGTGCTCAGTAAATACCTCTTGAATTGAAGTTTAATGTTTGGAATAGAGAAATCTTTTTTGTTTTTTTTGTTCTTGTGCTGGGGATTGAACCTGAGTCTCATACATACTTTGCATGCTTTGTATAACTGAACCCAGCCCTTGCTCTGAATCAGGAATCTACAGACTTCTAAGTTTTCCTTAAAGTATCCTGATAATGCTGGTTTGTGTTCAAGTTTCAGTAATGTAGAAACCCTGAAAATGATGTACCAGGTAAAAAAGCAAAGTAGAATAAGGAAGAAAACTATGATATATTTTACGGTACTATGCCTGATGTCATTTAAATACTCCCAACAGTTCTATGATGAAAATTACCGTGAAAAGTTGTTTTTCAATTGAGGGTATTGGTAAAGTGCCAAGAAACTTTACCTCAGGTGCCAAGTTCTCACACTTGGGAAGTGATTGGCCGGACTCCAAAGCCAAGTGTCAGGTCGCTTCAGAGTATTTTAAAGGCTGGGATTTAGGTGACATTCCTTTGTGTGAATCTGTGAATTGGAGCTGCTTTCTATTTGATCTCTACTAAACAGGTGTTTTCTTCCTCCTTCCCCCCCCCCCCAGTGAAAAAAATGTCCCAGCTCTGGTAACCTAAGCTTATGGTTGATATTAGTATAGAGTAATTGGTCCTTTTTCTTAACCTTTGCCAAACTTTTATTTATTTATTAAAAAAAATTTTTTTGGGTCCTGTCGTGAGGCCTGAGCTCTGGGCCTGGGCACTGTCCCTCAGCTCTTCAGCTCAAGGCTAGCGCTCTACCACTTGAGCCACAATGCCACTTCCGGCTTTTTTTCTGCTTATGTGGTGCCGAGGAATCGAACCCGGGCCTCATGCATGCAAGGCAAGCACTCTACCACTGAGCCGCCTTCCCAGCCCCAAAACTTTTATTTTTAAATGGTAACGTCTGATACTTGACATTTAACATGCTTGGCATAAGGTGATTGATAAGAATGAAATTTGTGAATCATTTTCATTTGTGTTGAACAGATTAAAATTAACAGTCTCTCTTTTTTTCCTTAGCTGACGAAGAATTTGATGAACTATGTTTTGAATTTGGCTTGGAACTTGATGAAATTGTATGTATTGATATGTACTTATATATATACACATGTATATATACACATGTATATGTTTACATACGTATTTTAGATATCTTTATTTTTCAGCATTTATTGTGTTATTGTATGTACCAGGGTTTGAACTCAGGGCTTTGTGCTTGGTAGGTAGGTGCTTTATGCAACTTGAGACATCTCTCCAGCCCATCCTTATTACTTTATAGTTAGATGAAGGTGATTCATTTGTGGGCCTTTGTGCTCTCTGTTCTAGGGAAGATTACTTTGCCTCTTGAGTCTTTTTTTTTTGTATGTTTTGTCTCTCAGTATATTCATTTTATTTGTGAGATAAATGGTTTAGATTCTGTCATTTTTATAATCTTCTGAAATCTACCTTCCTCAAGTCTTCAGAGAAGTAACTTAGTTTCACTAAAAATGATATTTTATTAGTGTTTAATTATACATTATTTAAATTTAGGTTTTTTTACTTTTCCTTCTCAATTTTCTTTTTTGAAAATTTTTTTAAGCATACATTAGTTGTAGGAGAGAAGATTTTATGTTGACATTTCCATATATTCATTCAGTAAATCCTGATCAAACTCACCACCTCTTACCATTTTCTTTTATTCACTTCTCTTCTCCCAACAACTTCAGCAGGTTTCATTGTTCTCTTTTCACTCATGAGAGTAAATCACTTTGACCATATTCACCTTCTCCTTTCACGTGTCCTCTTTTGGCTGCTACCTTCCCTTCCTAAACTGTTTTATTTTTTTGCCATTCTGTATGTGTGTGTGTGTATGTGTGCATTAATTTTACCAAGGGGTTTCAGTATGGAATTTTAGATGTACATAAATCATATTTTTATCAGAATAACCCTCTCTACTGCTTTTCTTTCTCCATCCCCTTATTGATAAACAGCTTTCATTTAGATTCCTTACGGCATCTTCATACATAGTTTCATACATCTTTCTTTTTCCCTCTCCTTTCTCCCTCATCCCACTAAATAGTCCCACAGTTAGAAGCATGTTCTGTGTGTGTATGTATTGTATATATATCAATATGTATATATATATATACATATTTGTATGTCTATGAATATGAGTGAAAACATGGCATTTGGCTTTTTCAGCTTGGCTTATCTTACACAGCATGATGCTTTCCAAATCCATCCATTTTCATGCAAATAATATAATTTTACTTTTACATATTCTATGGTACATATGTATTATATTTCCTTTATCCATTCATATGTTGTTGGGTACTTTAGCTGATTATACTGTGGCTATTGTGAGCAGCACTGCAGATGTCTTTCTTGTCTGTTGATTTGTATTCCTTCTTTTATATGCCCAGTAGGGGAATGGCAGGATAATAAGATGGGTCTATTTTTAGTTTTTCGGTGCATTTCTATACTGATTTCCTTAGTGGTTGTACTAGTTTACATTTCTACTAACAGTGTGTGAAATTTGCTTTCACTTCAAATTCTTGCCAGCATTTGTGTTTTTTGGGGGGGGGGTTGGGGGGACTCCGGTGGTGGAGCCTGAACTCGGCCTGGGTGCTGTCCCTCAGCTCTTCAGCTCAAGGCTAGCGCTCTACCACTTGAGCCACAGCACCACTTCTGGCTTTTTTTTTTCTGCTTATGTGGTGCTGAGGAATCAAACCCAGCCTCATGCATGCGAGGCAAGCGCTCTACCACTGAGCCACCTTCCCAGCCCCTGTTGCTATTTTTTAATGAATGTTATTCTAACTAGTGTGAGATGGAATCTCAGTGTGGTTTTGATATGCATTTCCTTTATGGCTAAAGAAGTTGACTGTTTCTTTATATGTATGTTAGCCATTTGTATTTCTAAAAACTACTCTATTTGCTTGCCCATTTATTGTTTATCTCCCATTCTTCCTCTTGCTCCTGCCTCTCTGGCTTCTTATTTTCTCTAGTTGGTAATTTGCCTCCTGAGTGTTGGAATCCCAGCACTGCCTGAAGTGGTTCCTCAAGGGTGACTGCTTTGGCACAAAGTACTTTGTGTCCAAAAGCAACTTCCTCTGTACTTCGTATGAGCACAGACTGTAATTTGTAGTATGGGCAATGGTTTGAATTACTCATATTATGTCAGTGAGAAGATAATGTCATGTAAAACCAAAGCCACTACATATGTTGATAGAAACACATCAGTTATTTTAACATGTTATTTATGGAAATACTGGTTAAATGGGATTTGCAAATGGTAATAGGAATAGTCTTTTTTGTGTGTGGGGGGGGCTTGAACTCTGTCCCTGAGCACTGTCCCTCAGTTCTTTAGCTCAAGGCTAGCGCTCTACCAGTTGAGCCACAGCAACACTTCCAGTGTTCTGGTGGTTTATTGGAGATAAGAGTCTCACAGACATTCCTTCCCAGGCTGGCTGAGTAGCTAGGATTACAGGCTTGAGCCACTGGCGCCTGGCAGTAATAGTCATTTTTATTGAGAATTTCTTATATGTTTATAGTTATCTGTTGTAAACATGAAGTATAGACTTTAACTTTTTGGCAGTGGTTATCTTTTATCTTTTCATAAGTTTTTGCTGTAATGTAGTAATTAAGATATCTAAGCCCTGCTATTGCATTACAAGTTACTGTCCTAGTGGTGTTTCTTCTCATTCCTTCCTCTTGGTTGCTTTCTGCTTGCTGTTCATACTCTTCTGTCCCTAGGCTATTTCCCATTGACCTATTGTCTTTTCTGATTTCCACCATCACCTCTCACAATCTCTTTTAATGTTTTGACACTTTAGTTTTAATTTTGCTGGTACTGGGGCTTGAACCCAGGGCCTTGACCTCTTGATTTGCTATTTTATTCTAGTGCTCTACCACTTGAGTCATTCCTCTGCTTCTGGCTTTCTGCTGGTTAATTGGAGATGAGAGTCTCTTAGATCTATCTGCCCATGCTGGCTTTGAAACTAGATCCTCAGATCTCAGTCTTCTGAGTGACTAAGGATTGGAGGTGTGAACCACTAAGACCTGCCTTTTGATTTGTTTTTATATTGTCTTTTTTGTTTGTTTTTTGGTTGGTCATGGGGTTTGAATTCAGGACTTGGGCACTGTCTCTGAGCTCTTTTGCTCAAAGCTAGTGCTCTACCACTTTGAGCCACAGCTCCATTTCTGGTTTTCTGTGAATAATTGGAGATCAGAGACTCACAGACTTTTCTGCCCAGCCTGGCTTTGAACTGTGATCCTAAGATCTCAGCCTCCTGAGTAGCTAGGATTACAGGTGTGAGCCACTGGCATTTGGCAGGACTAAGATGTTCAAATCTTTATGAGGAATTGTATTTATTTGGTGATTCATTTTATTGATGCTCTTTGTTCTTGGTTCTCTTTGTTCTTTTAGATGTGAATATTGTAGAATTCGTAGCTTATATTGTTTGAGATAACTAAGCTGTTGCATTGTGAAGCAATAGATTTTTTTTTTTTTGGTCCGGTTGTGGGGCCTGATCTCTGGGCCTGGGCACTATCCCTCAGCTTTTCAGCTCAAGGCGAGTGCTCTACCACTTGAGCCACAGCGCCACTTCCGGCCTTTTTTTTCTGCTTATGTGGTGCTGAGGAATCGAACCCAGGGCCTCATACATGCAAGGCAATCGCTCTACCACTGAGCCACCTTCCCAGCCTGAAGCAATAGATTATACATAGCTATATATCTGTACTGTATTCCAGTAAAAATTCACTGTATTTGATGTCGGTATAATTTTTGGAGGGGAAGGGGAAAAACAAGTCATTTAAATAAGGATACAGGTGGACCCATTGCAACAATGAGAAGTACAAGTTATCATGTTGAAAATGAACTTTACAACTTTGGTGGGGGGGGTGGGGGGAGGCTTGGAAGGGATGGGAAGGGGAAACAAAAGAGGAGGCTACAATGCTTGATAAGAAATATACTCATTATCTTGCCCATGTAATTGTAACCCCTCTGTACAGTATTTTCACAATAAAAAAATGTATTTACAATATAAGATACTTGATGTTGCCAGTAGGCCATGGTTTGCTGACTCTTGCTTTAGATGAATTTCCACTATTCTATAATGACTGAGGAGACAGAACTGAATATATCTTGAGTATTTTTCTGCATATTATAACATTTTAGTATTTTCACTGCAGATATAATAAAACCAATTTTGTTGTAGAAAAGAATGTAGTTCATTAACTTTTTTTTTTTTTTGCTTGGTTTAGACTTCTGAGAAGGAAATAATAAGTAAGGAACAAGGTAATGTGAAAGCACAGGGGGCCTCTGATGTCGTTCTTTACAAAATTGATGTCCCTGCCAATAGATATGATCTTCTATGCCTAGAAGGATTGGTTCGAGGACTTCAGGTCTTCAAAGAAAGGTAAGGAAGTTTTCTCTTATTGTAATCAGCAGTTAGGTCAGCATAAAGGGATGATTTCAGGATGAGATTCTTGTAAATTGTAGCCATTAACAATTAGCTGGCCCATTGAGTCACCTTTCATTTGGGGCATATTTTAAAACGGGAGAGTGATGATTTTATGGTTTCTTAAAAAATTCTTCATATGCCTGATGAAATTACTAAAATGAAGCTAGAAAACTTGAATTTCTTATGATGGCCATGTTATCTTCTCTTGGGTAATTTCATTGGCTTCTCTTGCTGTATCCTGGTCTATAATGAAGGAGATTTTAAGGGCCCTTCTAACTCTTCATGTAATAAATACGTAAATGAATAGGATGAAAAAATAGCTATAATTTTTTCAAATTACTTATATATTATCTGGTCTGTTGTAAAATTATGAAAACATCAGATGAACAATGAGTCTGAAATGATAGTGACTTGGGGATTTAGACAATTGATTTCATGCATGATAATCAAATGTTTATTTATAGAGTTTCTCATACCTGTCTGATCCAAATCTGTACTTTATTTTGAATATTTAGCTGAGACCTTGAGAAAAAGCTGCTAGTACTAAGGCTTGAATTAAGGGCGTTGAGCTCTATCTCTGCATTCTTGCTGACAGTTGGTCCTTTACTGTTTGAACCATACCTCCAGTCTGGCTAGAATCTGTATTTTAAAAAAGTACCACAAGTGATTTTTATAAGACCATTATGAAGTGACTTTCAACTGAAAAGTTTAGTCTTTGAGTCCGTAGCATCTGTATCACAGAGAGCTTGGTAGACATGCAAACTCTTACCTTCTATCCAAAATAACATTAATTTGGATCTGAGGTTTAACACACTCCTCAGTTGATTGTAAACACATGGAAGTTTGACAAGCACTGCCAGAAAACATGAGTAGTTAACTAGTAGTGCTAAGAATTGCCTAGATGGGCTGGGAAGGTGGCTCAGTGGTAGAGCGCTTACCTTCCGTGCATGAGGCCCTGGGTTCGATTCCTCAGCACCACATAAGCAGGAAAAAAAAGCCAGAAGTGGTGCTGTGGCTCAAGTGATAGAGCACTAGCCTTGAGCTGAGGAGCTGAGGGACAGCGCCCAGGCCCAGAATTCAGGCCCACAACCGTACCCCCCACCCAAAAAAAGAATTGCCTAGAGATAGATGCCTTCAGATTCATCAGGTACCATCTTTCTTCTGTGATGCAACAGCTCTAGCCTAGACCAGTGAATCTATATCTTTAATATATCTTATTTTTTCTGAGAAGCACAAAATCTTGTGTTTGTAGTAAGATTATCCAATTCAGCACTTTCCATCACTGCTCAAATGCTTTTGATACCTTTGCTGAGACTCAGAGATAGGAAACTCATTATCATGAGGGGTGTTGTATCATTTTAGACAACTTAAAGTTAGAAAGTTTGTCAGTTTTTTATTAGTACTCAGCCAGAAGTTGACTCAGTGCTCTAATTCTAGTGATTTTTGTGTATGTTCTGTTTGTAAGTCTAAGATTAATGTAATTTATCAAATGTTTTGATTAAAACTATTTGAATATTATTTTAGGATAAAAGCTCCAGTATATAAGCGGGTAATGCCAAATGGAGAAATCCAAAAATTGATTGTCACAGAAGAGGTAATAAGGATAACGTTATACTTTTCCCTTTAAAAAATTGTGTATGTCAGTAAGGTGGGGAGGGAAGAGAACAAAGCTAACCCTCTGACACGCTGAGCACTCGCTAAGGGGGATGTGTTAGTCTTTAGCACTTCAAAACTGTCATCCTATTACCAAAAAGTGACAAAACTCCCAAAGTATCTATTTTTCATAAATTATCTTGGAAAATACCCGAATGCTTATTCAAAACCCATTTAAGGACTGGTGGTGTTAGGGACGGGCTTAGCAAGAGGCCCAGTGTTCAGTGCCCAGCACTACCAAAAACATAATTGAATTAGATAAATAATACCCATTTAAATATAATTCTCTGTTGTTGTTATTGTTGTTTTGTTTTGTGATGGTCCTGGGGCCTAAAGTCAGGGCTTTGTACTCTTGCTTAGCTTATTCTGCTTTTGGCTAATGTTTTTCCATTTGAGCCACACCTCCAGTCTGAGATAAAATTCTTAAGCTACATCAATAAAATTTATAAAGACAAAATTGGGCAGGTTATTTTGGTAAAGATATGCACTATGAAAAAATTATTTAAAGATTTTTTTTGTTATTAGTATAATTTCAAAAGACTTACTGAGTAAATTCTGTGAGAAAGTGACTCTTTATTCTGGTCATGGAGCTTGAACTCAGGGCCTGAGTACTGTCCGTGGCTCTTTGCTCAAGGCTAGCACTCTACTACTTTGAGCCATAGCTCCTTATCTGGCTTTTTGAGTGGTTAACTGGAGATAAGAGTCTCATAGAGACTTTTCTGCCTGGTCTGGCTTTGAACCGCTACCCTCAGATCTCAGCCTCTTGAGCAGCTAGGATTATAGATGTGAGCCACCAGCACAAGGCAGTAACTGTCTTTTTACCACCTTATTAGTTGTTGATTGAATACATGAATATACACTTGTTCGAATAAAACCTCATAACCCTGTCAAGGCTGCATAAGATAAATAAAGGCTTAATATTTACTCTTTCTGATAGTTTGTGAATTTCAGACAGGTAAAGTGAGGCCTTATGCCGTAGCAGCAGTTCTCCGGAATATAAAGTTTACTAAAGATCGATATGACAGCTTCATTGAACTTCAGGAGAAATTACATCAGAATATTTGCAGGTTTGTGGTTTTGTCTCATTTATTCTTTCCTGTCTCACTGCGTCCCCCTTCCCTTCCCATCTTGCCGTTTCCTCCCTGTTGTGTCCTTCTGCTTTCCCTTCCTCAATCCTTTTCTCCAGCAGATTGTTTTTAAAAATATTGTTAAGTAACATTAATAATATTGTTAAGTAACATTAGTTACTTAGACTCAAGACAGTCTAACGTTGCTGTGCCAGACCCATATTTTTTATTATATAATGATCATCTTATAGATTACCTTATTTCTTCTCTCCTTCCATTTTTCCTTCCTTCTTTTCTTTCTCCCTGGCCTTCCCTTCTTTTAGTTTCATTGATTCCTTTTTCTTCTTTTTCTATTTTTTACCCATTAAGGAGTGCTTATTCTTTTTCTTTTTTGTCGGTTGTGGGGTTTGAATTCAGGACTTGGGCACTAGAGCCTAGAGCTCTACCACTTTGAGCCACAGCACCCCTTCTGGCTTTTTTTGGTGCTTAATTGGAGTAAGCATCTTATGGAATTTCCTGCATGGGCTGGCTTTAAACCATGATCCTTAGATCTCAGCCTTCTGAATAGCTAGGATTACATGGGTGAGCCATCTGTGCCCAGCCAAGGAGTACTTTTTCTTTTTTTTTTTTGGTCCGGTTGTGAGGCCTGAACTCTGGGCCTGGGCGCTGCCCCTCAGCTCTTCAGCTCAAGGCTAGTGCTCTACCACTTGAGTCACAGCGCCACTTCCGGCTTTTTTCTTTTTGCTTGTGTGGTACTGAAGAATCGAACCCAGGGCCTCATGCATGTAAGGCAAGCGCTCTACCACTGAGCCACCTTCCCAGCCCCAAGGAGTACTTTTTCTAAGACCAGATAGTCTCTATTTTGTTTTTACACATGGATTTGGCAATTGTTAATTTATCTAAACTTAGTGAGCCATGTATATATTTCATTGTATATGATAATTCTGGGTATTCCAAAATAATATAATTCATTGAGTAAAATAACATTAATTTATTTATTGAACTGGGAATTGAACCCAAGGCTATTTGATTTACCATTTGAACTATATCTTCATCCCTTCGTTTCATATTCATTTATTTATTTGGTTCTTTATTTTTCTGCTTCTTTTTAAAATTCCTATTTTGATTTCTTTCTCTTTATTTATAGCTTGCTATAAATTTACCTCAAATCATTTGTGGCTAAACTATACAACAACTGAAAATACCTTTTAAACTTTGTTACATGTTGAACTTTAAATGCAATTCATAGCTTTTATAATAGAATTTTCTGAACCAAAAACCTACAGCTATATCATGGAAAATTTAGGAAAATAAAGAAAAGCTGACAAACACAGTAAATTTAATGTCAGTAAATTAATGCAGAAAACATTTCTTGTTACTTGAGGACATGGGGAGGAAAAAGAGTGAAAAAAGAAGTGGGTCATATGGACTGCATAGTGGCAAGGAATGTGCTCCAGTTATTGGAGTAATGTGTTTTAAGTGCCTTTGTTATTTCTTACTATTGTAATGTGAGAATTTATGCCTTTTAGAAAGATGCCATAAAAGAGCAATTTGCTACTTTAGGGAAGTGCTTAAAATTTAAAGTAAATATTCTGTTCCATGTGGAATTTCTGCTATGGAATATTCAGATCTATTCCTTTCTTCTACTTCTCCCCCCCCCCCTTTTCTCTTCCCTCTTAACATTCAGGAAAAGAGCCCTTGTTGCCATTGGCACCCATGATTTGGACACTTTGTCAGGCCCGTTTACATACACTGCAAAGCGCCCTTCAGATATCAAATTCAAGCCTCTCAATAAGACAAAGGAGCATACAGCCTGTGAATTAATGAACATATACAAGGTACATGCTGATCTTCATTGTATGGTAGCTTTGTGTAAGTCATAAAATGCCTTTACATTCAAGTCTCAGAAGTACGGAAATGGAGTGAGTTTTTTTTTTGTCGGTTGTGGGGCCTGAACTCTGAGCCTGGGCACTGTCCCTCAGCTCTTCAACTGTAGACTAGCGCTCTACCACTTGAGCCTCAGCCCCACTTCCGGCTTTTTCTGCTTATTGGTGCTGAGGAATCAAACCGAAGGCCTCATGTATGCAAGGCAAGCACTCTACCACTGAGCCAACTTCCCAGCCCGGAGTGAATTTTTTTAATAAACAGGAGTGTCTAGGCTAACCTGAGATTTATTGACAGTGGAGTCTACTTCACGCTTTAGCTTTGCTTCTTGTTATTTTTGTTTGTTTGTTTGTGGGTGTGTGTTGGTCCTGTGGCTTGAACTCAGGGCCTGGGCACTGTCTCTGAGCTTCTCTTGCTTAAAGCTTTTTTAAATTTATTTATGTGTTTTTTTCCTTGAGAGGTCGAATTGGGAATCTTTATTAGAAAGCCAACAACAGCAAGCAGACTCATGTCCCAAAGACTTGTAGCCTCAAATGCACTTAATACTGTTAGGAAACTAAGCCACAAGGGTAGTAAAGAAAGAGCAGAAAACAATGTCAACAAGCCAGGTAAATGCTAATAGAGGGTTGAAGAGGGACATCACAGTGATCTGAGGAGAGTCAGGAGATGTGAGGCATGGAGTAGTGGCGGCAGAAGTTGAGGGGCCTAAACAGAGTCATGGTTAGGGAGCAGGGTCACAGGGAGCCCAAGAGTTCAGAGTCTCATGAGTTCATGGTACAAATTTGGCAGGTCTGGGAACCTATTGTCCTAAGTCCCCACCCCTGCTTCTAGGAATTCAGGCTGCTTAAAGGTTTTAGCTTTTTTGCTCCACACCCCAAAAAAGGAGAATTCAAACCTCTACTACTTGAGCCCCAGCTCCACTTCCAGCTTTTTAATGGTTAATTGAAGGTAATAGTTTCATGAACTTTACTGTCCAGGCTGGCTTTGAACTGTGATCCTTAGATCTCAGCCTCCTGAGTTGCTAGATTTGCAGGCTCTTGTTATAACTTTAGTCTGTGGGTTTTTTTTGTTTTTTTTTGTGTGTGTGGTTTTTTTTGGGGGGGGGGGGGGTTTAAGTCATGGGGCTTGAACTCTGGGCCTGGGTGCTGCCCCTGAGCTCTTCAGCTCAAGACAAGCACTCTATCATTTGAGCCACAGCACCACTTCCAGTTTTCTGGTGATAAGAGTCTCACAGACTTTCCTGCCTGGGCTGGCTTTGAACTGTGATCCTTCTGAGTAGCTAGGATTACAGGCATGAGCCACTGGCACCTGGCTTTGGATTATTTTTAATGTACTCCAAGAAAAGAATTGAGACACAGTGAAATAGATTATACTACATTATGATCTTCACGTTTGTGTATAGTTAAAACTCATATAAGCAAAGTAATAGGTTGTGTGTGTGTGTGTGTGTGTGTGTGTGTGTGTGTGTGTGTGTATGTGTATTTGTGTGTGTCTTGTAGATTCCTAGAAATTTTGGGTCCAACAGAGAAAATGAATTCAACCATCATTTTGAATTGCAAATATCAAATAGACATACTATAATGTGGGGACTGGGAAGGTGGCTCAGTGGTAGAGCACTTGCCTTGCATGCCTGAGGCCCTGGGTTCGATTCCTCAGCACCACATAAGCATAAAGAAAAAAAGCCGGAAGTGTCACTGTGGCTCAGGTGGTAGAGCGCTAGACTTGAGCTGAAGAGCTGAGGGATAGTGCCCAGGCCCAGAGTTCAGGCCCCAGGACTGGACTCCAAAAAAAACAACAACAACAACATAAAAGAAATACTATAATGTGGAAAAAGCAGCTGTTAGTTTCGGCCATACCTCTGGCCCTTTTTTGCTTAACTTTTTTCAGATAGGGTCTTGTGCTTTTTTTATGGGCTGGTCTGGGACTATGCTCTTCCTACCTGTGCCTCCCTTGAATATCACCTTACCAGCTTATTGGTTGATGTGAATTCTTGTTAAATGTTTGCCCAAACTGGCCTGAAACTGATCCTCTGATCCACAACTCCTGAGCTGATATCTTTATAGTTTGTTGAAAATATCAGTGATTGATGAAAACTGTAAGTGGTAGAATGGCTGAGTAAGCAAATGACTATAAGTGGAAGGACAGGGGAATCCTCTTTTTACCAATTGCAAATTCAAAGCAACAGTTCCAGTTCTGCCAAGACTTCTTTTTTTTTTTTGGTCCGGTCGTGGGGCCTGAACTCTGGGCCTGGGCGCTGTCTCTCAGCTCTTCAGCTCAAGGCTAGTGCTCTACCACTTGAGCCACAGCGCCACTTCCGGCTTTTTTTCTTTTTGCTTATGTGGTGCTGGGGAATCGAACCCAGGGCCTCAGGCATGCAAGGCAAGCACTCTACCACTGAGCCACCTTCCCAGCCCTCTGCCAAGACTTCTTTCTCCCTTCCTTTTTCCTTAGTCAGTAGTACATTGAAGCAAATTGGTTAGAGTTTTAGCTCTCCCATTCAAATATAATTAAACTTTAGAGTTTCTGTGGTTTAGGATATTTTAATGTTACTAATGTTTTCTGACTCCTTGCCCTCCTTACGTTTTAAAATATTAGGTTGGCAAACTAATTGCATAGAAACAGCTAATTTTGTTTGTCTTAATTTTTTTCAGACTGATAACCACCTTAAACATTATTTACATATCATTGAAAGTAAACCACTGTACCCAGTTATTTATGACAGCAATGGGGTTGTCCTGTCAATGCCTCCAATCATCAATGGTGAGTCACTTCATGGTGGTTTCATCTTAGTTTTAGTTTCCACAGTAGTTCACTTAAACTCAGACTGTCTAGCACGTGTAGTTTGATAGTTAAAATAAAAATCTAAATCTTAAACTTACAGTCCTAATTTCTTTGTGAAGTGTTTATATGAGTATGCTTGCAGAATTGACTTTGGAAGTGAGGAGGATTAGCTGATAGGTAGCTGGAAGGAATGCCTTCTTGAAATGTTGAATTCTAGTACAGTCATGCCTGGCTATACCAAATGTTAACTTTGCTGCTTAATAGCTTGTGATCTTGGGGAAGGGCCTTCATGTTTCCAAATTTCAGTTTTCCTGTGAAGACTAGATAAGACAATGCTGTAATTATTTTCAGCATTCTCCAACTTCCAATGGGAGCCTAAAATGAAAGATGTTACATTCATTTACCTCTCAGCTGTTAGTTTTTGTTGTATTCTAAAGTCAAAATGAGTTTTCTGTTTTGCTGAGCTTCACAACATGCTTTGTTTTCTGAAACTGCTTTATTGTTACTGTTTGCAGGGGATCATTCCAAAATAACAGTAAATACTAAAAATGTGTTTATCGAATGCACAGGAACTGATTTTACTAAGGTAAATAAAATTTTTAGTCTGTTTTTGTATTATCAAACAGTACAGATTTTACTTCTGGGCTAAAGCTGGCTAAAATTTAAAATGTTTATTGTAGGTAGCAGGGTGTTTCAAAATTTGAGAAAATTACAAAAATGAAGAAATTCTCTACTTCATTTATGGTACTTTCTTTATTTGACAATTTTTATTTTTTGTGCTGGTCCTGGGGCTGACAAACTCAGGGTCTGGGCACTGTTCTTGAGCTTTTTTACTAAAGGCTAGTGCTCAACATCTTGAGCCATAGCTCCACTTGTAGCGTTTTCATGGTTAATTGGAAATTAGAGTCTCCTGGGCTTTCTTTCCAGGGCTGGCTTTGAATTGTGATCTTCATATCTCAGCCTCCTGAGTAGCTACTGCTTCAGGCATGAGATACCAGAGCCTAGTTATTTGGCAGATATTTAGTGAGCACTAATGTTTTTCCCATGGTAGGAATTTATTGAGTTACCTGTTTCTTAGCTTCAGAGAATTCTTAGTTTAGTGAGAGAGGTGGGCATATGTGTAATAGAGAACAGGCTGAAAATAAATACCATAACAAGAACTGTATAAACCTATAGAAATTTTAATAGGCTTGATTTAAATGCTGAAAAACTAGAGATCTTTGTATACTTGGTAAAAAAAATTTTTTTTTCTAAAAGTGAGGTAGCTATGAAGTTTTATTTAGCAAATTGAGTTTTATTCACAGTGATATGTGTGGAGTGCTATTTCACTCATTGGAGTCCAAAAAGAAATGTACTTATGAAACTGTAATCCCTCTGTACATCACTTTATAATAACAATAGAAAAATACATGTTTTGTGACTTATGCATTTAATTCTGTTAGTAATGAATGAGATAGGAATTTTTTATTATTTCCTCTGAACAAGTAATTTGACTGAGATTGAAAGAGTGTAAGTGGCTTCTCCAGAGTCATACCCTTAGTAAGTGACTGGGCAGGATTCAGTCTGGCTTCAGAGATTTGTGAACTTGGTTGCATTTACTCTTGTAATCAGCCATATGTGTCTCTTAAAACCTGGTGACCTGAGGTTGGAAGTTGGGGAACTAAATGATTTGTCTCAGTCATGGATGGTAACTCTCAGAGAACTGCCTAAATGCACAACACCTGAAGATAAGAACGGGCGTCTATTTCAATGTTCACTCCACTTCCTTTCTTAGAATGTATATGTGAAGTTATTCCTAGATGTTTGAGAATTAAATTACATTAAAATATCATTACTATCTAAGTGAAGAGAATATATTGAGAAATTACCATTATATTTGTTTTTTTCCTCTTGCAGGCAAAAATAGTCCTTGATATAATTGTCACCATGTTCAGTGAATATTGTGAAAATCAGTTTACGTAAGTTTATTCAACACCTTTATGGAAGACCTATGAAGGCATTATGGCCTTGTGCTACAGAACACTCAAAAATCTGGTGCCTGTAACTAGAACCTAGAATGTTTTGGGGGAGATAAGATATATGTTTAAAATATAAAATAAAAACCGAAAGCACCTTAAAGAAGATTTGGGGATGTGGTGCTAGTAAGGCCAAGTTCCTGCTAACTAAGGTAGTCATGGAGAGAATGAACTTCAATTTGTATTTAGCAACTGTTGGATTTGAGAATGAAAAAATGGAGTAGCAAAAGAAACAGCTAAAGAAAGAAATGTAAGCGCATATCATTTATATGCTTGTAAGACTTTTTTCCAATATTTTTAAATTAAAAATTATTTAATGTACCTACATGCACTTACTGGGTATTTAGATCATAGTTTATTCTGAGGTATTAGTTATAATTCAGACTAAAACTATAACTATAAAAAGTATGACTAACATGATGTGGACTGTATTCTTTTGTGGAGTTTCTTTTTGGTGCCCATTCTGGTACTTAAGAACTTGAGTGCTGCACCTGAGTTTTTTTGCTCAAGGCTAGCACTCTGTCACTTGAACCATAGCTCCATTTCTGGCCTTTTTGATAGTTAAGAGATAAGAGTCAAGCCGGGCACTAGTGGCCACGCTTGTACTCTTAGTTACTTAGGCTAAGATCTGAGAATGGCACTGTGGCTCAAGTGGTAGAGTGCTAGTCTTGAGCTGAAGAGCTGAGGGACAGCACCCAGGCCCATGACTGACGAGAGAGAGAAAGAGAGGCAGAGAGAGAAAGAGAGGCAGAGAGAGAGAGAGAGAGGCAGAGAGAGACAGACAGAGACAGGGGGTGGGGAGAGAGATAACAGTCTGTCTTTAATGCTTAGGCTGGCTTTGAACTGTGATCCTCAGGTCTTAGTCTCTTGAGTAGCTAGGATTATAGGCGTGAGCTCTCTGCTCCCTGCTTATGTATGGGTTGTTTTTTGGTTGGTTGTGGGACCTGAATTCTGGGCCTGGGCGCTGTCCCTCAGCTCTTCAGCTCGAGGCTAGTGCTCAACCACTTGAGCCACAGCTTCACTTCCGGCTTTTTTTTTCTGCTTCCGTGGTGCTGAGGAATCGATCCCAGGGCCTCATTCATGCAAGGCAAGCGCTCTACCACTGAAACACCTTTCCAGCCTGCATTGGTTGTTTTTTAATTTGTATTTTGGTGGTTGTATCAGTTATCTTTTGTCTGTAACACAATACCCCACTAAAGCCTGGGTTACATATCAATTTTGGAAAGGAGTCATACTCTACATAAGTAGAACAAATGGACACTTCAATTGACAATGACTGAAGAACTGGGAGGAAGTTTCCAAAGACAGATCAGTAGACTATTATGTACAGAAGATTAATCCAATCAGCAGTATTAAGTTTGGTGATTAATAATGTTAAGGCTGGAGTTGTGGACCAAAAAAAGGTTTATTGGCTAACATTTGTAGAATTTATGGCTCCCTTTTTTTTCCCTAAGTAATTTATTTCTGACTCCTCCCTGCCCCTTTTCTTTCAGGGTTGAAGCTGTTGAGGTAGCTTTTCCTAACAGGAAATCAAGTACCTTTCCTGTAAGTACTTAAATGCTAAGGATAACTGTGCCACCTACCTGGACTATATAGAGTACTGTATCACTCACTGGCCCTTGTTTAAGCTCTATACTGTGGACTCCTACATGGAGTCAGTCTTCCAAGATCCCTGTAAGAATAGAAGTTTAAACTAGTATTGCTAATTTTTTCTTGAGACAGTCTTACTGTGTAATCCAGGCTGCCTTGCAAACTTCCTATGTACCTCAGGCTGGTCTTGAACTCCTACTCTTCTTGCCTCAGCCTCTGGAGTGCTGAGGTTGCAAGTAGGTACACTACTGTGGCTGGCTTAAAATAATAGTGTTCTTGTTGGGCTTCTTTTCCCCAAAATGACTTGATATAAAGATGGCTATTTAAAGATGTACAGCACTGTGATTCAGTGACACCGTTCTTTTATTATTTTTTTCTCCTTTTAACTATTCCTGCCATATGTGACGTGAATCAGAACCTAAAGTTCATTCAGTAGTTATACAAAAGGATTTCAATTCCAGAAGTCAGGTTATAAGTACAATGCATCTTGGTGAATGTTACTCTTCGTTCTCCCTCATTCTTCCATCACCGTTCCTATCTTCAAGTTATGTAGTTCCCTTAAGTTACATAGTTCAGTTTTTACATAATGTATACTGGATCTAATAACTTCATTTGATCACCTTTCCTCTCTCCATTTGTGTGTCCCCCACCATCTTACTAACTTAAACATCTTTTGCAGTAGATAAAAACTTAGCTGGGTCAAAAGTCTCCCCGTTCCTTATAACAAATGTTTGGCCATATCAGTGGACCTCACACATGCTGAGCAGTGTTCTGCTACTAAGCTGCAATTATAGATAGTAGCTAAAGACTTAATGGCTTGAAATAATGGTCATTTATTAATCTTATGAGTCTTTTGGTCTGAGCCAGATTAACTGGGCTGTCTCTGCTAAGCCTGCTCATATGTATAGTTATGTGGCTGCTTTGTTAGCAGAATGATCTGGGTAGGCCTCACTCAGAGGTTTACTTCTTATCAGCTTTCCTTACCATCCTGGCTAGCTTAGTCTTATAATTATTTTGAAAATTAAATTTTTCTTTTTCTTTTCTTTATTTTTGTGGTGCTAAGGATTGAACTTGTGATTGCTAGGCAATTACTCTGTGCTTTTCCAGCAGACAGTCCCTTATGGAACTGGATTTGAGGGAAGAAGTAGCACCAGTGGGATCATTTATGTCTCCTTCAGAAAGGAAGAATTTAGCCTGTTTTATAGTTTATCTCAGCAGTAGTTGGAATTAACCAGTGCTAGCTTTTTAGTGTTTTTCTTTAAAACAACAACCAAAAAACCCCAAAACCAAACAAAACAAATCTGACTTAAGAAAAGTTTTTATCCCTCCCCTCCCCTTCCCTTCCCTCCTCTCTCCTTCTCCCCCCCCCTTCCCTTGGCTAGTGCTCTACCACTTGAGCCACAGCTCCACTTCCAGCTCATTTTTGGTGGTTATTTGCAGATCAGAGACTCAACAGACTTTTTGTCTGGTCCAGCTTCAGATGTGATCCTCAGATCTCAGTCTCCTCAGTAATTAGGATTACCGGCATGAGCCACTCACTGATCTTGGCCGAAAAGTCTCTTTTTTAATATGAATAATTGCTGTGTTGCATATATACTTTTGTGAAGAAGTGAAATGTAGTTTAATATTTAGTTCACTTTTTTCTCATGTAGATAAGTCTTTAAAATGTATTTTTATTTTAGATTGCTGTCATAAATTTGAGATGTTAAACTTTTAAAAAAGTGTTTTGGCATTTGTTAATTTATTTTCTCCTGAATATAAATTTAACTAATCCTTAGGTTGTTCTCCCAGAGAGGAAGGACTCTGGGGGAAAAGTTCTTTCTTAAATGAATTACCATATTTTCTCAAGTACTTTGAAAGTTTTTTTAGTCTTTGTTATTTCATAGAAAATAAGGTAAGGTTTTTTTTTTTAATACATTGACTAGAGATGAATGATAGTCAGAAACTAGTGATTAATGGTATGAGTGTTGGAATTTATCAAATTCACTAGTTTATTCCCTAATACACACACTCACTAATATATGGAATACTTATCTGACAAGCATTTTCTGAGCAGTTGAGAATGTAGCAGTCCTTGGGTTCTGCAGCTTATTATCTTGATCTAGGACCAACTGGTTAGTTATTTAAAACCTAAAATCCTTACTTGTAAAATGAGAATCCTAGTAATTGTTAGAGAACTAGGTCAGACTATCTTGAAAGTGTCTTCTATTGTTCAGCTAATAGTGACTACTTAGTAAAAATTTGTTATTACTCTTTTAATCATTAGCATCTGGTCCAGTGCTTCTCAAACTGTCCTGTGCATTCACTTCACCTGGGTATCTTACTGACCTGTAGATACCTATATGTACAGTGTCTACTGCTGGCTCTAAGAATTGAAGTCTGCCTTTCTCAGCAGCACTCAGGTGATGCAGATGTTTCTGCCCTACTACATTTTGAGTAGCAAGACTGGCATGGGGCCTTTACTTGGATCAACACAGGTGGTTAAACTTGTAGCCTTCTTGCTAGTGACAGTTATGTTGTTGAGAGTAATTTGGTGATAAATACTCCAATGTATGATAAAGCCTGGGTTTTCTACATGTCTGTTCTTACCCCATTTGGTTGTATACCATTTGGAAGAGAATGATTACTAATTGTACCTTTTAGTTGAAATGTTCCCACATCTCAGCCAGGTCTTGGGGCATCTTTGCATTTCTTCACTTGGGACATGGCAAGAGAGACATGTCTTCTTAATAATCTTGTATGGTAAACTGTTATTATGATAGAATTGTTCTTTTTGTTCATACACACTACTTGCAGAAGATGAGAATGAAAAACTTTTAGCAGGATTTTTAAACATCTTAGAAATGATGGGAATGGGAATTAACCATATAAAAGAGAAAAGTTTGGCATTTTGTATTAACTCCAAGTAACAAATATCATATAGCAAATAGAATGCTCATATGTGAATCGAATATGGCAAGTTTCTTCTTTATTTAATATTTAATGTTTTAAATATGAAGTTTGTTTTCAATATCTGGCTGTAAGAACCTTTTCTTATCTAGGTAATAAAATGGGAACAAAGTAATTTAATTAAAAGAATACTCAAGGTGTATCTAATGGGAACTGACTTTTGCTTTCAAACTCTTTTTATTGAAGGAACTGGCTTACCGAAGGGAGATGGTGAGGGCTGATTTAATTAACAAAAGAGTTGGAATCAGGTATGCCTTGAAAACTTCATTTATTTGTTTACTGTTGGAGAGGATTCAAAAGCAAAATACACAGAGGCTATTGAACTTTTCCCGAGGGAATTCTTGGAGAGGCTTTTGATATCTTTGAGACTAAGCTTCATTTAGAATGCTAACTTTATTAGATATAGAGGTCTAATTGAACTTAAAAGGAAAGCTTACTATTTCAGCATATTTTAAAACATTTTAAAAGAAAATGTGAACACTTTTTTTTTTTTGGTCTGTCGTGGGGCCTGAACTCTGGGCCTGGGCGCTATCCCTCAGTTCTTCAGCTCAAGGCTAGTGCTCAACCACTTGAGCCAGAGCACCACTTCCAACTTTTTTCTGCTTATGTGGTGCTGAGGAATCAAACCCAGGACCTTATGCATGCAAGGCAAGCACTCTACTGCTGAGCCACCTTCCCAGCCCTGTGAACACATTTTATATAATCTAATGAAGTTTATGATTTGTACATTTCTTTTTCAGAGAAACTCCACAAAATCTTGCCAAACTTCTGACCAGGATGTACTTAAAGTCGGAAGTCATAGGTGATGGCAATCAGATTGAGATTGAAATTCCACCGACCAGAGCCGACATTATCCATGCATGTGATATTGTAGAAGATGCAGCTATTGCTTATGGATATAACAATATTCAGATGGCTCTCCCCAAAACATATACCATAGCTAATCAAGTAAGATTGCACCCTTAAGTAAACACTCCTTATTGTTAGAAACTGATTATTGAATGCCAGGAAGGCTTTGAGAAAAACAGAACATAAGAATTAGGCAGTATTTGGACATGCTTTGCTATGGGAAACATTTGCTATGGGGAGGATACAAAACAGATGCCCAGATGATTGGACTGAGTTGAAAACCTGAGATGACTGGTTCTTTGAAGAAAGACAGGTTTTGAGTGTGGAGTCCTTGTTGAGTCTCCAAATTTGAGATGCTTTTTTTCAACTTGGGCCGGAAGGAAAAGGCTGTGTGTGTGTATGTGTGTGCACGTCTGTAGAAGTACATGAAATTATGGCAGTGTATTTATGTGTGTGTCATATTAGCATTATGTTAGTAAGGGGAGAAAGGGTAATTTCCTTTTAATAGTATTTTCTGTATAAATCTTTTCCCTTTCCCCTTTTCCCTTTTTTCTCTTCTTGAACTCTGGGCCTGGGTTCTGTCTCTCAGCTTTTTTAGCTCAAGGCTAGTGCTGCACCATTTGAGTCACAGCTCCACTTTCAGCTTTTTAATGGTGAATTGGCTTTTTAAAAAATATATATTGTATTGTTATTGTAGAGGTGGTATGCAGAGGGCTTACAGTTACATGAGTCAAGTAATGAGTACATTTCTTTTTAAACTTTGTCTACCCTTCCCTTGCTCTCTCCCAGTTTTCCCCTCCCATCCTCACCCTCAAGATGTAGAATTCATTTTCCACATAGTGTCTAGTGAATATGACTGCTATATTTGTTCATTCTTTGTTGTACCTTTTGTACCTTTTAGTTGCTTCCCCCTTCCCCTCCCAAAGATAAACTATCAGTCAAGACAAAGGAAAAAGACAACAAAAACAGCAGCAACAACAAAATCTCTTGTTTCCTTTTCTTTGAGTTCATTTCCTATATTATTTTATATGATCATATGCACATAGCTATTAAACCTTTGTGATCTTTCTCCTATGCATATCCTCCTTTGGTCTCATTGTATGAATGTCCAAAGACGTGTAATTTATTATGTCCAAGTGTATTTTTTGTAACTACTCAGTATGTTTACTTGTAGATTTATAGGCACATTCTACTTACCACAAATGAGAGAAACTATACAGACTTTTGTTTCTTTGGGTCTGATCTTGGGGCCTGAACTCTGGGCCTGGGCGCTGTCCCTCAGCTCTTCAGCTCAAGGCTAGCACTCTACCACTTTGAGCCACAAGGCCACTTCTGGCTTTTTTTTTTCTGCTTATGTGGTGCTGAGGAGTCGAACCTAGGGCCTCAAGCATGCAAGGCAAGTGCTCTATCACTGAGCCACCTTCCCAGCCCACCTTTGTTTCTTTGGATCTGGCTTACTTCGCTTATAATACAATTTTTTTCTAAGTCTTTTCATTTTCTTATGAATGGTACAATATCATTCTTTCTGATGGAAGAGTAGAATTCCATTGTATATATACACCACATTTTCTTGATCCATTCATCCAGTGAGAGGCATCTGGATTGATTCCATATCTTGGATGTGGTAAAAAAAAAAACTGCAATGAACATAAAGTGCTGGTCACTTTAGTGTGACGTTATTTGTGTTCTATTGAATAAATGCCCAGGAGCTACAGCTCTACTTTAGCCTTTTAATGGTTAATTGGCCTTCCTGCCTGCCTGCCTGCCTGCCTTCCTTCCTTCCTTCCTTCCTTCCTTCCTTCCTTCCTTCCTTCCTTCCTTCCTTCCCTCCTTCCTTCTTTCCTTCCATCCTTCCATAAGGTTTTATTGAAGGGTACTGGTAGCTAATGACTGTAATCATAGCTACTTAGGAATCTTGAGATCTGAGGATTATGGTTCAAAGCCAGCCAGGACAAGAAAAGTCCATGAGACTTGTATTTCCGTTACCTACTAAAAAGCCAGAAGTAACATTTTATAATTATAGCTCAAATGATATAGTGCTAGTCTTGGTCAAAGAGTCAGTACCCACACTCTGAGTTCAAGTCCCAGTGTGCGCACACACACACATGTTTAATTAATGTAAAATAGTGATTTTTTTTTTTTTTAATTTTCAGTTTCCTCTTAACAAGTTAACAGAACTCCTTCGGGTTGATGTGGCAGCTGCTGGATTCACTGAAGCACTCACCTTTGCTTTGGTATGCCTTAAATGTACTTTTTCTATTTAGCACATTATTAGAGTTTCTCAAGTGTTTTTTCTTTAATTTCTTATGAGTTTATAAAATCTAGACTACTGAAATTTCCAGTTCCTCCAAGAAAAAATTGTTCATCAAGATTATATTTCTGCTAAAGAATATGAAACATTTCCTGTATAGTCAAAAAAGTGTGGAGACATAAAAATAATGTCTCTAGTGACAGATGACCAAATGTTTTATAGTTTGAAATAAGTGTTGAAAGTTCACGGTGGAGTTCGTAACCAAATTTATTGTTAGAATATTTGGTCTTAATTTGGTTGTGACTTTGCCCACTAGAGGCCGCCCTGGTTGAGGGCATGGGGACTGTTCCACATTATTTCTCTGTCTTTGAACATGTTCATAAACATTTGTTTTGAGTTGAAAAGCTGACATAAAAGACCTAAATCAGGAAACGAATGTTATTATAAAATAAGAAGGAAATCTCCCTCCCCCACCAGACTGACCATTTGAAATAATAAAATGTGTATGTAATTTGTAGTTTTTTTTCCTTCTTGCTGAGCATTACTGAACCTACAATGCATTTATTAAGTATATCAGTAAGTTTCAGCTTACTGATCTATGGAAGGAACTACTACTGGCAACTACCAGCACCCACACTTCACTCCCACCCCTGAAATTCTTCACCTGGTAGAGGATTTTTTTTTTATTTAATTTTTTTTTTTGGTCCGGTCGTGGGGCCTGAACTCTGGGCCTGGGCGCTGTCCCTCAGCTCTTCAGCTCAAGGCTAGCACTCTACCATGAGCCACAGTGCCACTTCCGGCTTATTTTTTCTTATGTGGTGCTGAGGAATCGAACCCAGGGCCTCGAGCATGCAAGGCAAGTGCTCTACCACTGAGCCACCTTCCCAGCCCTGGTAGAGGATTTTAAGGGACTGTCTAGGTTTCCTAAATTCAGCTTTGTTTGCTTTTTCTAATTCAGCAATCATTCATTCATACTGTTATGGACTAGACACTATACTGGTGAGGATGCCTGAAACTGAGCCAAGATCAGTGATAATATTTTCACAGACAATAGGAGAACCATAACTAGAATTCTGGCCTTTGGATTCTTAGAACCATTCTTTACCACTGTTTTGTGTTGCTCATGCTTGGCTTACAGCACTGTCATTCATGGATGTACATGTACACTTCCATTTGTAAGCACTCATAATTTTATATAAAGTGTAATATAAAGAATAGTGTTGGATTTTTTTGTGTCTGATACTAGGATTTGAACTCAGGGCCAGGCACTTATAGGCAGCTGTTCTACCACTCAAGCCATGCCGTCAGCCATAGAGTTGAAAGAATGTATGTAGCATATAGCCATGAATACATTCTCATTTTGATAGATTCAGAACAAAGGTAGTCATTATTGATGCCTCCAGTTTTGCCCAAGAAAGATGGCCAATCATTTCTTAAAAGGTGGTCAGTCCTTGACTTTCCAAATACAAGCAATTCACATTTCATTGCTGTGATTTTTTTTTTTTGTATCTCTTTATGGCTCAGTTTTAAGACTATATACCTAGTTTAGTCTTACTAAAAGAAAACTATCCATAAAAATTATGGACTTCATTTGCTTTTTTATATTAATGTTCACATATATATTAATATTTAAAAACATCTTCTTTCCCATGTCCTAATTACTGCCACTTTAGTATTGCTTAATGTAAATGGTTTTTATCCTTTTCCCGTCTATCTTCATGGTAAATCATAAGTCATTCAGATACACAGTTTCATTGCCATGTGTCTGTGGCACCCTTCCCTTTTGCATGGTGTTCTCTTTGAGAGTGGCTTGTACTATGTAAATTGCATTTTAAAATTCATTGTTTGCCTTCTATCTAAATCTTGTTATGTAAAGTGTGCTGTGGGAAAATGCTTATTTCTAGTGCTGTGCTGTGTCCCTTTCTGCCACCATTGTAGGCCAGGGAACCCTGCCCTGTTCTATCTGAATGTGGCTTCAGGATCTTAACAGAGGAATATGGCAAGGATCACCAGAGCTGGCACTGGTATAAAATAAGTTGATGTATCTACTTCAGTTATTCTTCATCATTTTAAAAAAGTGATAGAGTTGGGTGCCAGTGGCTCACGCCTGTAATCCTAGCTACTCTGGAGGCTGAGATCTGAGGATCAGGGTTCAAAGCCCAGGCAGAAAAGTCCGTGAGACTCTTAGCTCCAATAAACCACTTAGAAAACCGAAAGTGGCGCGGTGGCTCAAGTGGAAGAGCAATTGCGTTGAGCTGAAGAGCTCAAGGACAGCGCCCAGACACAGAATTCAAGCCCCACAATCGACAAAAAATACATAAATAAAAAAGTGGTGGAAAGGCCAACTAGTCCATAAAGACTACCTTTAGAGCCTCATAGGAGCAAGATTGCCCTAACTCTGGAAAACAGTCCAGGAATCTTAACATACTTCTATTTTCATGTTAGGTCTTCAAGTTTGTTTTTTTTTAAATAGCATCAGTATATACAGTAATTATCATCAGTAATGATTTGTTGACATCATGTTTGTAGACTATCTAATTTTGGTCTCTTACTGTCAGGCGCTGTGCAAATATATAATGTCTTTATTACATTCTTTATTAGGTTTTCATGCTTAGTGAATTTATTTCTATAACTTCTGGTTTCTGGACAGGGGAGACAGATGTTCGATTTTTAGTGGGTAGTGGATTAACAGTTTTTTGTTGCTAGGAGCCTCAGCATGTTCAGGGAAGATACAGTAGAATATGGGCTAAGTTCAGGCTTTGAATTCTCTTAAGTCCTGCCATCCCACTATAACCCCAGATAGATTGAGAAGAATAACATTGGTACTGAAACTAGAAAAACAGAAGGGAGAGAGAATTTTGACTGGACCATTAGGATATTTTCATGAGATAAGTGGAAGATAGGTAAGTAGAGCCTTGGAGAGTGGCCATCTGTGGGGCTAGAAAAGTGTTGAAGTCTAGGGGATGTAGAGAATCAGGAATTGGACTGGGAAGATGAGCAGGAGTTTATGTAGGAAGGCCCTGGGTGTAGTCACACTATTTTGTACACACACACATGAAATTTTTACTTTGCCTTCATATTGTGGATAGAACTCCAAGTAAGAGAGCTATTAATGTTACACTGTAGCTTCTTTAGACTTGAAACTGATAAATTACTAATTGTGGAAGTTAGTAACCTAAGTTCTTAGCTTATGGTTATTAACCTTGCTGAGTTTTAAAGTTAAATGTAGTCATTTCTTTTCCATATCTACCTATTTTGTCTGTACTTCTTAGTGTTCCCAAGAAGATATTGCTGATAAACTTGGTTTGGATATTTCTGCGACAAAGGCAGTCCACATAAGTAATCCTAAAACAGCTGAATTTCAGGTAAGAATTTATGTAAGAATTTAAATTAAGACAGAGTTAGCACATGAGTTAGGAAATCTCTTCAGTTAAAACATATTTAATGGCACAGTCCTAGAGCTTCGATAGGATGATAGTCAGTTGTTACATGCTTTCCTATTTTTGTTTGTTTTTGTGATTGTTGATATAAGCTAGGTCTTTATACACTTTAGGCCGACAGTACTACTGAGCTATATCCCAAACCTCTTTGAAAGAATCTTTAAAATAAAAAATAAATTTTTCTTGATGAACTTCATAGTTGTTGTTTATTTTTCCAAGGCATATCTTGCTGTATAGTATAGGTTGGCCTTGAATGTGTGTGATTGCCTGCCTCTTCCTCTGGAGGAAGAGATTGTAGGCATGAATCATCACACCTGGCCTGTAAATTAGTTCTTGTATGTTTTATACTATCTGGCCTAGTTTCTCTTACCTGAACTTCCATTTCATAATTGTGTTTTCACATAAGCTGTCAGATTTCATCTCTTTACCATTCATTTGTAATAAATGAACCAGAACGTGTTCTTTGAGCCTCCATAAGTCATTCTACATCAGCTCTTGATTGTATTGTCTATAGCTTTTGTAGTTGTTGCAGTCCCTTGGCAGCTTCCTGCAGAGTTTGGGGATATTTAAATGAGAACATTTCTGAAATAGTAAATAGTGAATGACTTGTTACAGACTGAGGCATTAACTATAAAGAGATAGCATGTCAAGTTCTATCTTTGCTTACTAACAGGAGCTATGCTTCTTGTATTCTGCTTTTCTAGTGTATATAAATTTTCTAGAGTATGTAAATATCTTCTAGAATCCAGGAGAATCTTAAAACTGGAAGAATCTGCTTTTAAATGTTGTTAAATATTGGGGCTGGGAAGGTGGCTCAGTGGTAGAGTGCTTGACTTGCATGCATGAGGCCCTGGGCTCAGTTCCTCAGCCCCACATAAGCAGAAAAAGTCAGAAGTGGTGCTGTGGCCCAAGTGGTAGAGCACTAGCCTTGAGCTGAAGAGCTGAGGGACAGTGCTCAGGCCCAGAGTTCAGGCCCCACGACTGACAAAAAAAAAAAAGTATATATTGTTAAATATTATTATAAGTAATATCTCAGTTCAGATTTGAGAGACAATTTCTTAGGACCTATGTTAATATAGGGGGCTGGATTAGTTAAATTTTTAAAGTTCTAAAAATGTTTAAATTTTAAGATTCTAAATTTTATTATAGAACTGTGTATTAATGTGGAAAATTAGAAGTAGACTAATTTGCATAGAGTGATTTTCATTAAAACTTAATGAACTTTTATTTGATTATTTGATTTAGCATAAAGAATCAGTATTCTTGCATAAAATTCATTCGAGATGAGAATGTCTTTTAGACGTAGCAGATTCTATATTTCTGCTTTACCACCACTACTTATATGACTAACAGACATTTATGGTTAATTACATGTGAAGTTGTTTTCTTTTGCATAACTCTTAACTTTGTACTTTCTTCCAGTAGGTAAGAGAATAAGCAAGAAAAACATTGTAAAATTTCATTGCATGTTAAATATTAGTACATAGTACATGAATGTGAAAAGAGAACTATATATACACACATATATACATACATGTCTTCATATATATGTGATGGGCTTCTTTAAGCCGTCTTCATATATGAATATGTAAATGAGTATATTTTAATTCAAAAATAAAATTTAAACTATTACAATTTTTGTAAGCAGAGTTATGGAATCAATTTTGGCTTACACAATAAATTTATTATTACAAGTGTAGAACCTAGAAGTTGGAGATCAGACTTCAGGGTGGTCGGATTCTGCTGAGGACTCTAATCTGGGTTCGAATTAAGTCTAGGGCATTTGTTCTGTAGAATCCCCATAATTACAACTTAAGATTCTGCTGAATATATTCCAGTGGCTTATTTCTGGTACCCTATTAGATCTAGAAGCTTGGTCAGGTTCAAGCATACACACACACACACATGTTTTTCTGTGTGTAGACACACACACACACATACACACGTATGTTTTTCTGTGTGTAGTGCCAGTACTGGAACTTGAACTTGAGGCCTGGCCACTGTCCCCTGTCACTTGACCTATAGTTCCATTTCCAGCTTTTTGGTAGTTTACTGGAGATAAGAGTCTCACAAACTTTTCTGTCTGGACTAGCTTCAAACCATTATCCTCAGATCTCAGCCTCCTAAGTAGCTATGATTACAGGCATGAGTCACTGGTGCCTGGCTTAGGCATTACTTTTTTGTATTGTTGATGCTTTTAAATTAACCACATAAGGCTTATCGATAAATAAACTGAAAGGTTAGGTGCAGTGGTTCACTTCTGTCATCCCAGCTATGGAGGAGTCTGAGATTGAGAGGATCATAGTTCAGAGCCAGCCTGGACAAAGTTTAGTGAGACTTCTGTCTAAACAAATAAACTGGACATAGTGATTCATACCAGTAATCTGAATTATGTAAGGGACTGTAGGGAGCTGGATTTTTTTCCCAAATCAGCCTAGTGAAAAGCATGAGACCCTATGAATCAGTGAAGGACTGGGGTATGAGGTCATGGTTAAACAGTAGAATTCTTGAGGCTCTCAGTTCAAACCCCAGTACCACCAAAAATAAAGATTAAGTAAGCTGAAAAAAATAGTTCTCTTCAAAAGTAGTTTTATTATATTCTAATAAGTTAAACATTTTTTTAAATCTTTTACCCATGGCAGATATATTTCCAGCCTCTCAAAAGATGCCTAAACCTGAATCCTACATGTATTGTTTTTTCCTATCAATAGTAACTGTGGTAGTTATATATGAATGAGGCACGGTAAGACCTTAATTAAAATGATAGGTAAAATAGAACAATTATAACAATTTCCTGTAATAAAACTTACACAGATGTAGTCCCTCTGTCCTAGAGTGTCTTAACTTTACTACAGATCTTAGCAGCCTCATAGTATGGTTTTTCTCTTAAGTTTGGAATTTTTACGTTCTTGCATAAAGGAAGCCTTTCTGTTTGGCATATCTGAGTTATAGCACTACTCTTGTACTTTGAGCCATTAGTGAGTAAAAGAAGTTATGTGAGTATAAGCCCTTTGACACTGCCTAATAACTGATAACTGACAGCCAATGGCCAGTCATGCAGCATACTTTGTAGATTTGCTAGTGGCTAATTCATACCTTTGCTTGGATGGAGTGGGGATGAGAGACCTTAACAATACTACTCCATTTAAAACTTTGGAATTGCTTCTGGAATTTTCTGTTTAATATTTTCTGACTGCAGTTGACCATGGATAGCTGAAGTTATAGAAGAAACAGAGAGAGGGGCTGCTTCTGTTCCTGTGATAATTGGGCACTTTGCCTCTAGCCGGGAAAGTGAGCAGTAGTTGAGAAAGCCTAACTGCAGCTTTCCAAGGGCAGGAGAGATGTTCTTTCTTTTTCAGCACTCTATCCAGCAAATCTTTCTGGGACTTACTGATAGCTTTGGGTGCTAACTAGGAGGCCTGTGTTTCTCTGGTGGGCAGGGCTGATGTCTGGAGGAGTAAGTTAGCCACACAAGAATGTGGAAATAAAGAACAAGTGGGAGCCCTAGGTGGAATTGGGGTGCTGAGTTAGGGAGCCACAGGCAGATTGTATCACACCATATAAAGCATATGTTTTTTTCAAAATTGGATGGAAAGCTACTGGGACTTTTGAGCTGGGGAATTATGTGATCTGACTTTGGTGTTGAAGAACTATGTAACATAAGAGGGAGAATGGATGAAGATTAGCTAGCCTAAGAAGCTCAGGCTAATGGTGCATAGAGTCTCTACAGAAATAACAATTGTGTCACCACTGCTCATAAGCACTCTGTTAACATGGTGTGCTGGGAGCCAATGTATAGTGTAAAGTGAGAAATTATTTACAGATAAAAGCAGCGATGTGTTGCTCTTTTGTTTTTGAAGAACTGAGATGTGCATTTCTTGTAACAGTAAGGATGAAATTAATGTACATGTCTTCCTGTTTCCCTTAATAAATAACAAGCTGAGAACTGGTTGCAGCCTGCTCATAGCAGCTGTATGCTTTAATGCTTTATATATTTGTCTTCTGTTTTCCTCATTGTCCTCACTTACATTTACATTTTTTATAGTCTTGGCTTTCCCCCCACATTTTGTTTTATGAATTATAAGTCAGGTTATGAGTATATTTCTTTTTGGATAGTGTCTCCCCTTCCTTTATTCTCTCCCAGTTTTTCCCTCCCATCTCCACCTACAAGTTGTATAGTTCATTTTCATTGTAGTGTCTAATGAGTACCACTGCTACAGGTCTTGGCTTTTGGTTTGATTACTTTTTATTTAATTTATTTAAATTAATTTATGAAAATATACATATCAAATATTGAAAACCAATTTTATTTATTTTTTATTGTGAAAATACTGTACAGAGGGGTTACAATTACATGGGCAAGATAATGAGTACATTTCTTATCAAGCATTGTAACCTCCTCCTTTGTTTCCCAATTTTAATTTTTAAAATGATAAGTAATCCCTAGGTCAGACTAATTTAAATTATGTTTTGTATGACTGTACTGGAGAATATTTTCAGTTCTTCTAGTGACTGGAATTGAACATTTAAAGTGACTTGGATATTTTAGGCATTGATTTTTCCCAGAAGGGCATTCCTTTGAAGTCCAGGAGTGTTTTGGCTTTGTCTCCCCTCCAGCACAGTGTGCCTGTATGCTTCCTGTTTGGTCAGTGCAGTGTCATGTCTTTTCCTGCAGGTGGCGCGAACTACCCTCCTTCCTGGTCTCCTGAAGACCATAGCAGCAAATAGGAAGATGCCCCTTCCTCTGAAACTCTTTGAAATTTCTGACATTGTAGTGAAAGATTCTAGCAAAGGTAAGAATGAATCACCTTTCATTTGCACACTTTTTTTAAGTTTTTAAGTAGAGAAAATAGTCCAATTTATTCCTGTGAATGGAGCACCTAACTTCAGTAGTTCAGGCTTTTTTTTCTTTTTCCATCCATATTCTTGCCAACCCCCTCAGATAATTTTAAGGTAAATGTGAGACAGATTATCATTTTGTCAGTACATACCTTAGTTTATACTTTTAACATCTGTAGTCCTACCTACTCAGGAGGCTGAGATCTGAGGATCATGGTTCAAAGCCAGCCTGGACAGGAAAGTCTGTGAGACTTTTACCTCCAGTTAACCACTAGAATACTGGAAGTGGCCCTGTGGCTCAAGTGGTAGAGCTGAAGAGCTCAGGGATAGCATCCAGACCCAGAGTTCAAGATCCACAACCACCAAAAAAAAAAAAAAAAAAAAGCACCTGAGTTCTACCATTTTTGTTGTTCATTTGTTTTTAAATGATAGGATCATTATTACACCTTACTATCATCAAATATCTTAGGATTTCAATTTCCCCACTTGTTTCATAAACGTGTTTTTATGGTTGATTTTTGTTGTTGTTGTTTGATTTTTTGGGTGCAGATTGTATTGGAACTTGAACTCTCCTTAGCTTTTCTTGCTCATGGCTAGTCCTCTATCACTTGAGCTATACTTCCGATCCTGTTTGATTTATTTAAATAACTCTAGTAATGCTAGGTTTCAGTTGATATGTCTTTTATGAATGGAAATCACATTTTCACAAAGAATTTGAAGATCCTGATTTAAATTTACTCACTTGAAGGTGGGGCACTGGTGGCTCATGCCTGTATAGCTGCTCAAGAGGTTAAAATCTAAGGATCATGGTTCAAAGCCAGCCTGAGCAAACAATGCCTGAGACTTACCTCCAGCTAACTAGCAAAATGTCAGAAATGAAGGTGTGGCTCAAGTGGTAGAACTTCATTCTTGAGTAAAAAAGCTAAATCAGAATATGAGGCCTTGAGTTCAAGCCCCAGTATCAACATAAAAACAAAGCAAAACAAAACTTCAACTTGAATAGCCCCAGAGGGCTGGAATTGTAGCTCAGTGGTAAAGTGTTTATTTAGCATGTATAAGAGCCTAGGTTCAATCCCCAGCACCACAAAACAAACAAGCAAAAAGCAATGAGACACTTTCCTTTTTTTTTTTCCTTACAATGTGTAAGTTGTATGCATATCATTATAACACACTTGGTATCTTGGCATTCTAGTTGAGCTGTACCAGTAATAGTGAATGCATTTCACTGGTTTTGTTCCTTTGTTAGTATAGCAACACTAGAAATGCATTGGTTGTTTATTAACTGTGAGTATAGTGAGTAAATACACACTTGCCAAAGAAGTCTGTTTCATTCAAAGGCAATGGCGCAGACTCTAATGCATGGTTTGGACCTGCATGTGTAGCGGTCCCCTTATGAGCATGACTATGGCTGGCAGCTGTCCTTGGTTCTCAGGATTTTGTACCTACCATTCTGGCAGTGTTTATTCAGTGGTTCTTACTTCAGACTGAAAAATTGAGAATATGTTCCCTTGAATGGCAAGACAAAAGCAGAAACCTTTTCTTCAATTTCTTCTTTTTTTTTTTGTTTGTGGGGCTTGAACTCAGGACCTAGGCACTGTCCCTGAACCTCTTTGTGCTCAAGGCTAGTGCTCTACCACTTGAGCCACAGTGCCACTTCCCAGTTTTGCATGGTTAATTGGAGCTAAAAGTCCCATGGGGACTTTGCTGCCCAGGCTGGCTTTGAACCACGATCTTCAGATTTTAGCCTCCTGAGTAGCTAGGATTATAGGCATGAGTCACCTGTGCCTGACTCCTCAATTCCTTTTGAAGGGGATTGAAAGCATCGTTCTTAACTATAAAAGTAGTCAGAAACTGTATCTTGTAAGTAGGTGTTGTGAGAATACTTTGACTTTCTAACATTTGTAGTAAACGTTTTGTTTAAGGTTGGTTTCCATCTCTTTTCCAGCAAATTGGAAAATTTAGATAGATAACTAGTAATATTCCCAGAGCTTCATAAAATATTGGACTTGGAGCTGGGGCCAGAATTTAGGTCTTGGTGCATATATTCTTAGAGATACAAGTTCATTTCAATATCAACCTGTAGAATGTTTTTGTGGGGTGGTGGCAAATCTATAATAGAAAGTGAAAAACATTTTTTTGTTTGTACCAGCTGCAAATAGTTTTGAGGGTTCTTTATGACTTGGAGCTGAGAATTTGTTACCTATGTCAATATTGGGTAACTTTGTTAACATTGACTTCAACCTTGGTTCTTTATGTTTTGTACTATCTTGATCCGTGATCTACCAATATTTATAAGCAAAGGATTAGGTTAATTACATTACACTTCCCCCCAAATTTTGTTATGACCCTTTTGACAGTAGACATCTTCCATAATGCCAGGGTCTCTAAGAGCTCCATGGGTTGGGCATGCTCATGAGCAGGAGCGCAGTGAGCAGGAGCTCCAGAGAATGAGGATGACATGTACACGGAGGCCTGCAATTGCTGAAAAGTTTGGCTATAGGCAGGGAGCACTGTATTACCTGCAGTCCTGGGAAAAGGAGCCTGTGCTGTTTTCTTAATCTGTATGTTGAAAGGTCCTGGCACAGACTGGCCCCAAACTGTGTTTGGAAAGAATTCTTCTATTGAGATGTTGATCTTAAGTGCTAGTGCTGTCAGCCAATTCTTAACAAATTAAACCCAGGCTATGTACCTTTTTACTCAAAAGGTTAACATTTCCTTTGAACCATTGCACTGTGGAGAAGAGTTGTTGTCTCCATAGCAAACCTTTGTTTCCCCCTAGCCCATTTTCATTTGTAACGACTGTACCTTTACCATGATTCATTTCCATTTAATTCTACTTTTCCTCATTGTCTTATACTACTTTTTGTCAAAAATTACTTTGTGTCATATTGATAGGATTTAAACAATGAAAGCAATAAATGTGCTAGGTAAGTCTGTCATCTTGAAAACATAGGTTTGTTTTAATTTATTTGGAGTATGTTTTCTGTTTAGGTGGGCCTGGATTTTATTTCATAGCAAAGACAGCTTTTCTAATGCAGTATTTAAAATATGTTCATGTGGGTCCCTCCTATCATCAGAACTCTATAGTGAAGCAAATCAGCACCATAGTGTCCAGTGGTTGGCTTTGGGCAATTTATTTAGTATCTCTGTGGCTCAGTTTCTTAATGTATACAGTGGCAATGGTGATGGCACTTTATTACACTTGTTATATGGATTGAATGAAATTACCTCATAATAAGCAATGTTTGCTCTTGCTCTTACTGTTAAAGTATTAGCAGTCTCAGATACCTAGTATCTTGGACTATGGAATTTTTTCTCCTAGAGTAACTTGAAAACCTCTTCTGGCCATCAAAGTATTATGGTTGTTTTGGTGAGGCACTAGGGGCAATAAGGAGTCTGCTTAAGAAAATAGGAATGTTGATTTGGTTTTAGAGAAAATCATCACCAACTTTTCAATAAGATAGTTGGTTATTTTTACTGACTCTTAAGCCATTTTTTTGTTAGATTTACCTAGCTTAGATTGATCTCTTTCATAATAATGAAACCTCCTGGAGAAATAAATAGTAAACCATCATAAGTATAATGACTGATAAATTAAATGAAAATTTCTCCGGTTCTCATTAGTGTGGGCTGAGTGGGAGGCGATGAGTGGCAAGCATGCCTCCAAAAGTTTCATTCAGCACATTGCTGGAAAATATTTTGGAATTACTTTTCCTTTTAGCAGAACTGGGGTTTGAATTCAGGGCTTTGGGCTTATTAGGCAAGTGCTATACCTCCAATCCTTCCTTTTTCTTTTAGACTACAGAGAAAAAGTTGCCAAGTGGAAGGGGACAGACCTAAAGCAAATTCTTACAGATAGCCTTCCAAATGTATGAAGTACCCAGGGAGCACAATGGAGTGATAACTGCCCTGGCTTATTTAGTTAATATTAAGAAACACCTAACAATCTTAGCCTCATATCAGTTTCTGTGTGACAATCATATCTTCCAAACTGGAAATGAATCTACAGTCAATTTGGTGCTCACAAGGCCCCTGTTTTCATGATTGACCTGAATGTATCTCTCTCCCTCTCCCTCTCATTCCCTCTTCCTCTCCCCTTCCTTTCCTTCATTTTTTTGTGCTGGTCTTGGGGCTTGAACTCAGGGTCTGGTCAGTGTCCCTGAGTTTTTTTTTGATTTTCCTGCATAGGCTGGCTTTGAACCATAGTCTTCAGATCTCATCTACCTAAGTAGTTAGGATTATAGGTGTGAACCACCAGTGCTAGATTAATATGGACTCTTAACAGATTTTACAGACAATCCAAGAGACCATCTGTATTGAATGAGATCATCAGGCTGCTGGTTTGATAGTGAGCCAGGCATACCCTTGAAGCATTTACTTCTACTGTAAATTAGACACATTCAGGTTAAGAGAGCCGGCTAGTGCATTTATTGAACCTCAAGATCAGAAGTTGCTGCAGCATTTTTAAAAATTAGGCCTCAAAGGGACTGAGCTGGTTTATCTTTTCTGTTGGGCAGGGTGGCATGTGTTATTGGAACAAGAAGTTGAATACAGACTACCATAGAGTAATTGCTCAGTTTAAAAACAGAAGGCAGCAGTGGTGTGCTGAAGCCTTCATATCAAGCTGCTCTGTGAGTTGATTTCAGTCATTACTAGTTCTTTCTGTTCAGTATGAAGCATAACTATAACTAGAAAAGAATGAATTGAGAGAGGGAGGGAGGTGGGATGCAGGGGAGCGAAAGACCTAATTGTAAATTGTAATCTTTCTGCCAAGAAAAGCAAGTATAAATTGTATACCACTAACGTGGCCTTTTCTTATATCCAGATTAAGCTCTGCAATCCTTCATTATTCCTTAGGGCTGTTGAAGCTGCCAGCACACCTGGACTCACTGGTTGGCCAGGGGAAGGAAGCCCATGACTGACTTTAGGTGTTCGAATTTAAAAGGCGCTAAAG